AGGTTTGAGGCCTTGAACACTAATGAGCGAAGACCAGATGAGTTGTGGGAGGATGTCAAAGATATCATTCAGGAAGAGTGTAAACGGCCATTACATTTATATGCAATAAACATAATAAAATAGTTAAAAATCCAGGTAAACTTATCTACATCTATTAAATCCCCCCTTCTTCGTCTTGTTGATTTCCGTCGAGTTGAGCATGACTAATAGCAACCCTATGAACAAAAGGCCTGAAGCCTCTCTGTAACTAATGTCAGTTCTCCACGTTCACAGAGTTTCCAGAGGCATGTGGTTTAGGAAGTGGATGCCACTCCTGCTTCCAAACCTGTCCTATACTTGGAACTCCACCAAACACTGTTCTCTCTTAAGTATGTATTTAAGGAAGGCAGATCTATGTGTTTTGAAGTGTGAGGTAATCCCAAATATACTGGGGGGACAAAAAGAACTATGTACAATATTATTCTATTTACTGTTATATGTAAACATATATAGTCATACATAATTTAAAAAGAAAAACATGAAATAAATTGTTAAAAGAGGTTACAAAAGAGTGTATCAAAAGGGAAAAAAAGTAACTATTGCAACTAAAAAATGTGGGGGTTACAGAAGCAAGATAGGAGAAAACATTTAGCTTTGTACAATTCTGTATGTATTTGGTACCACTGCTGTTGTTATTGTTATGTGCTGTCAAGTTAACTGTAATGCACAGCAATCCTATGAACAGTGATCTGATGGTGAGCTTAGCACCCATTCTGTGCCATCCTCATCATCTCTGATATACTTGAGCCCATTGTTGGTAGTTACTGTATCAATCCATCTTGTTGCGGGTCTTCCTCTCCTACGTTGACCCTCCAACTTTGCAAGCAAGATGTCCGTTTCCAAGGATTGGCTATTCCTAGTAACAACATGTTCAAAATATACGAGACAGTGTCAGCACTCTAGCCCTTAAATTTAAAAGCATAAAGGTTGCACTGTCTCTAAAACAGAACTATTTCTTCTCCTGGTGATCCATGTACTCTTCAACAACACTGATTCTTCTTCTGTCAACCTTAGTCCAACTTTTATATGGATGGCAAGGAACTGAGACAAGTTTGGCTTTGATCAGGTGTACCTTAAGCTTTAAACTGTTACCACTGCTCTTCAGTACTCTAGAGAGATCCATTACAGTATATTCTCTCCGTATGAATCTTTTGTTTTCTTGACCTTGGTATCAAGTGATCAAACTAAAATGAAATCACTGACAACTTTCATCTTTTTTCCATCTACATGGCAACAAATGGTGAGGATTTTTGTTTTCTTGATGCTGAGATGTTATCCATATGGAAGGTTGTTGTGTCTTCCGCAGCATGGGTTTCAAATGATCCTCACTTTTAACTAGCAAGGTTGTATCATTTGCATAACACATGTTCTTGGATCTTCTGTGATTCTGATGCCACATTCTTCTTCATAGAGCCTAGTTTCTCAAATGATCTGTTCAGGATAAACTGAACAGGTATGGAGAAAGGATACAGACTTGAAGCATATCTTTCTTGATTTTAAACAATTCGGTGCTCCGTTGCTCTGTTTACATAATTGTCTCTTGGTTTAGGTATATTATTTTGCATGAGCAAAATTAAATGTTCGAGGGATCCCATTATTTTCAATGTTAATTATAATTTGCTGTGATCCACACAGTTAAATGCCTTTGCAAAGTCAATAAAACATAGACAGACGTCTTTCTAGTATTCTTTGCTTTCAGAGATACAATCTGCTGATACCATGTGGTATCAGCAATGATATCATGTCCTCTTCTACATCCTGCAGTTCTCTGTTATACTATTCTCACCATTTTTTAGATAATCTTCAGCAAGATTTTGCTTGTATGATATTGTTTGATAACTTCCAGTCTGTTGGATCACCATTTTTGTGAATATTACTAGATAATGGATTTCTTCTAGGCAGTTGACAAAGGAGCTGTCTTCCTGATACCCTGGTACAGCTTGGTGGGCATGTCAAAGGCTATGTCTGTTGGAATATGTCAGTTGACTCTTGAATGATCCAGAAAGCATCAAAAGAAGATGGAAGGACTACACAGAGTCACTTTGTACCAACAGTATTATTTTTATTCTCTCATCACAGGGTATCTAAACAGGACATCATACTCTGAGCAGAATCTCAATATTTTCCCATTATTTTATATGCTAAAATAAATTAAATTAAAAAAATAAAAGGTTTTATATCCTTTTGCAAAAAGAAAAACAACTTACGCTGGGGACTGAACTGCTCCAGGATTGTCAATGGATACTGTCAAAATTCCCCCATTTGTAGTAGAAGTCCGCCATCTAGTTTGGGGGGAAAAATGGATTAAATTGTGAGGTTTCTAAAATCTCTAATGTATTTCACATAAAAACTTTCCTCTCCAAAGCAGCTACTAATTTTTCCTTAATTTTTTGAAATATAATTATCTACATCCCAAATGATACAATTAAATCAGAATTTTGGATATTGGATTAAGAAATCAGAATTAAATATTTTTACAGTATAATAATTACATGCTTTTCTTTCTGTCCTTGGCTGATAGTATGCTGTATGGTTTTTATCTTTCCAGAGATCCTTTCTCCTTTACTCTTTAACACAACCTACCACTAGCTATCCCTCTGTTCATTACTGATTTAAAAGCTTTTTCTCTTGTGCTAAAAGAAAAATTATACGCTTTTTAAAAAGCATGTATTACAAAGGTCTCTAATAAAAAATAACAACCCTTCCCTTTCCCTTTCTATTCCTGCTCCCCAGAGGCAGCACTTCTAACTCTTCTTGTTTACTACTTCACAGTTCACTTCATTATATACGAGGCTAAGATCAGAATAATTCTAGCCTTCACTAGCACTGACGGCTAGCACTATGCTATTTCCATAAGAGACATAAAGCTCTTTCTTTCAGTAGTATCTCTTTACTCTCACTGGTACTTTTTATAAGCCCAGCAGTACCTCTCTTCCTTACTCCCACTTCTTATCCCAGAATCTACCTACCTTTGTATTTACTTTGGTCAGAATCTGACATTTTTATCTTGTTACCAAATGATATTGTTTTGTCCACAAGTTAATTCTCAAAGTTTAAGACAAATTGTATTAATATTACAACCATTATGTAAACAGTATTCATTGCAGAACTAATTATGCCATAATTTTTTTCTATTTCCCATAGACCCTTGTGCTAAAGAAAACTGCTAGTATCATATTCAAATATAATTTGTTTTCTTCCATTCCAATGGCTCTAGATCATGTCCCATTTTAGACTGACACAGTGAATATGACAATGGGATCAAGTATATCAGAGATGAGGAGGATGGCACAGGACAGGACAAGGTTCAGATCTCCTGTTCATAAGGTTGCTAGGAGTCACACCCAACTTCAGAGCACCTAATAACAACATAACATGACTAAGTTTTGTTTTCCAAAGAGTAACATAGTTCTAAATAGTATAATCTCAAACAAAGCCTTGGGAAATTTCATTTCTAATAGATAACAGAATTTTAAAAAAATATTTTTACAGGATAAGATAAAGAGTATGAGACTGGAAGAAGATTTGTGTTTATTATTTCAAAAAGTTACATAAGACTCTATTCCTTCAATAGTTCATTTCCACAAAAGTAGTTAGTACTGACAAAAATTTAAAATCAGAATAATGTATCTGGTTTAATAGCTCAAATAATAATATTAACACTTCAAAATGGGGGAAAAATTCTCTCAGACTCAATAGTTAACTTACTGAGTCCCATTTTATTTCTTTTAGAATTTGGTACATGATAATTTGAGTAGTTAATATCTGGATTTTTCAAAATGATATCTTGCAAAACAAACTGACACTTACTGACGTGTTCTTTTTGCTACTACATCATCTAACAGTTGCTCTGTATTCAACTGGGCCTGAACCTGAAAAGAAAAAAAAAAGCTGAAAGCCACTATAGGAAGCAAAAGATTTGAATCTAAAGAACAATATCCTGCTCTACAGCTTTATAAACGGGTATTGTGTGTGCATGAATACAGAAGAGAGGAGGGTGCCTCTTTTAGAAATGATGTATTAAGAGTTCTCTGTATTATAACTAGTGGCTAATACAAGTTTATTTCTAGATAAAATGCTAAATTCTTATAAAATGTTGCTGTTAAGAGAAACAAAAGAAAGACAAAGAACAGGAAAAATGTAACAAAACCAATGTTGTATTTCCCACATCCCAAACCAAACTCCCTACACCAACTAAAGCACAATCATGTAATTTAAGATTTTTAGAAGGTTCTCAGTATAAAATGAAAACACAACTAGGCTAGTTTTTATACCTTCAAGCCTCTTCTGAAGAGAAAAGTAGCCTGTCTCGTGTCTTTCTGATGGCTTAATTTATGTCTATTCCTGGTAAAACTGGCTGGAATGTTATTTCTGCAATAAAATCACACCTGCCATAAGTAATCAGAGATACTTAATTGACAACTTACAAACATCTTGAAAAAAAAAATTAATTAAAAACTTGAAATTATAGGCTTTAAATTTCAGGGCACTAAAATGAAAAGATAACTCAATTACATCCTTTCTCCCATGAAGCTATGGAGATTTGATTTAGAAGTGTCTTCTTCTGAAGCTTATTACATTTATCTAATAACTAAATATTTACAATTAATATTTAAATAATTATCTAATAACTAAATATTTACAATAAAGACACTAAAAATGTCATTTTTTTCAATGCTATTTTCTAAATCTAGTAAGGACATAATTTACAGGACTGTTGTTACTGTAGACTACCATCAAGTTGGTCTCCAGCTCATGATAACCCCACTGACAATGAAATGCACCTGCCCCATCCCCAGAACTGACTGCAGATCGACTGCTGTAATGTGTAGTTTTCACTGGCTGATATTCTAGAAGTTGACAGCCAGACTTTTCTTCCACTGAGTCCACTTTAATATGAAAGCTCTGCTGACTGTCAGACAGGCAGTGGCCGTACCAAGAGGTACACTGGCTAGGAATTAAACCCTCCAAGGGCTTTCCTACATGAAAGGCAAGAAAAATGCTTCTAATGAACTACCAACAGAAAATCACACCCAGGTATGACACTCAAACTCCTGGGGTGGGGGTGGGGGGATCTTCCATTTTCTCCTCCAGCTTTCTCATTCTTCCACATTTATAAAATCTTTACATATTAATATAAACCAAAGAGAAATGTATATTGTTCAATGTGTATAAACCAATGGATTCTTAATAAAATTACTTGACTTCTACCACCATCTTCTGGGTTTTTTTAGGAAGTTGATAAAGCATGAGAAAACAGATTTGCATACTTATCTACTTTATGAATAACTGCTTAGCAGGTTACTTAATCTTACTTCCAGCCCTACAGAAGTTCAAACGCAAACACTTCTCTCAAGTAACCCAATTAACACAAAACCCTATGTAAATAACAAGTTCTTTTTTGAGAAGTTTCCCTTTTCCAAAGGGTACTACACTGAGTACATCAGAGAGTTGGACAATGACCAAGGAGGATAGAAGAAGAATTGATGCCTTTGAGCTGTGGTTCTGGAGAAGAGTATTGAGAATACCATGGACTGCTAGGAAAACAAATAGATTTGTCCTGGAAAGGGTTAAACCGGGTGGCTCCTTGGAGGCAAGGATTCTGAGGCTCCGTCTAACTTACTTCGGACATGTAGTGAGGCGAGACCAGTCCTTGGAGAGGGACATCATGCTTGGGAGGGTGGAGGGACGGCGCAGGAGAGGAAGGCCCTCTATGAGGTGGATTGATTCAGTGACTGGAATAATTGGGATGGGAGTGTCAGAGACAGTGCGATTGGCACAGGACAGAGCGGAGTTTAGGGCTGTTGTACATAGGGTCGCTATGAATCGCAGGCGACTCGACGGCACATAACAACAACAACTACACTGAGTGATTTCTAAAAGAAAAAAAAGATGGTTACGTAAAATTTCAATTGTAGTCATTTTACTGATGAAAAGACCTCTTCCCAGGTTTTATTTGGAATGATCTTCTTTTGATACAAAACTTAGCAGTTTATCCAATTCTTTTCTGCCTGCTTTATCCTTAGAAAGGACAGAGTGCCATGAGGTGAAAATTTGTAGTGTGCAGCATGCCCTTCAATTTAATATAAAAATAATTTCAGCTTAACAAGCATTTATGTAGACTTCTTTCAAGCTTTCCCCACTCCCGACAAATAACATGCACTATGATTGAGTTCTACAAAGAATTCTCATAACTGATTAATAAACTGAGCTTTCAATTCTGTCTAATGTTAAGATTTCTACCATATCAGTTTTCTTCTATTTTATTCAATATATTAAGAAAGCTAAGGTAGCAGGGTGATGCTTTAGAAAGTTTCATAATTAAGTTAAAGTCATCAAGAACTCCAGGCCTTTATAAAAATAAGGATGCTATCACTACACTTTTCATGCTGCATGTTCAGATAGCTTTCTCAAAAAGGCCTTGAAAACAATGAGATTAACAAGGGGGGAACAAATCCAATCCTCCCAACAATTATTAGGGTACTGTCTATAATGTAGTTAGTATCATTGTTTTATACTTGAATACTTACTTTCTGTTTAGCTGGTTCGGTCTCTTGAGAACTGCAACTGGTTTTCTCTGAACTTCATTTTGTCTCAGAAGGTTTGCCTTTCTTTTCAACACTGGAAAATAGCGCTCTATATTCTTTCAGAAGGCAAAAATTACATTAATTTTTTTATACACTGCTTTTTCCTGTATATCTTAGACTACAATAGACATTTCTGAGGCAGAATGAAAAAGGAGTACAAACGGTAGATGTGTGTGGATAGGAGACAGAGATACTAGAATTAATTTCTTCTGGGGACACATAAGTGATGGGAAGTGTGGCTGTGAAGCTCAAGGGAAGACTCAGACATAAATCTAAGAGTCATTTACATAATCTCATGCTTTTTAAAAAAAATCTCCTTTTCTGTTGCTGTGAATATACAAAGAACATACACTAATGCAACAATTCCTATATTTATAATTCTATGATACTGCTTACTCACATTCTTCCAGTTGTGTAACTATTCTCAGCCTCCCTTCCCAAGCTGTCTTCCCTATTAACATAAATTCATCCTCGCCTTTAGGTTCCTATCTAATCTTCTGAGCTGCTGCTGCCTATTTGATTCCAAACAGACATTTCTTAAAAGATCACGATGCTCAAGGGAAACATTTTTTACTACTAAATTACTGCTGATAAATTTGGTTTTAAGACTTTCATGGAATATTATTAGTTTAAGGATAAATATGATTCTTAATACTACGTGAAAAATGAGCCAAGTTCTAAAACAAATTCATGAAGAAAAGAAAAAAGGTTGTAACAGCAATGAAGCCTGTTAAGAAATGCTTAGAAAGAAAAAAGGAAATTGAGATAATTCAGTTTTACAGAAAGCACAAATACATGAAATGTCTACCTTTTCTCCATCCACATATATAAATCTAATTCATCATTCAGGTTTCCATGATTTCTATGAAGCCTTCACACAATCCTAGATGGTCAGCATTCTCCCTCTTCTTTCTCTATACCACAACCTCTAAATAACATCTGTCACATAAATAGGTGCTCTGGTGGCCTATTGGTTAAGAAACTATGCTGCAATTCCAAAGGCACGAAATTCAAATCCACGAGCTGCTCCACAGAAGGGTGGACAATCTCCTCCACCGTGTTTTACTGCCTCTGAAATCCCGCTGGAGGGTCAGCTATGGGTCGGTTTTGACTCAGTGGTATACAACAAAAACATCACATATATAGTTTTAAAAAATTGTCGCTAAAACAACTACTGATCTCTACTGGTCTGCAACAAAAAAGAAAAAGAAGAAAACCAAAGATTTAAAGAAAATATTCAACAGGACCAAAATAGTCCACACAAATCATAGTCTCAGCTACTAGAGATGATGCCCTATTGTCTCCATGATCGTTCTAATCAGGGTCTTAAATGAGAGATCCTGGCAGAATGGGAGAAAATGTATATCAGCACTCAGTGGTGAAGAAATCCACTTAATATATGGTTGAGATTAGAGGGCTCCTCTGATAAAAAAAAAAAAAAAAAAAACTATCACTCTGAAAACACTCTTTAAACCTTAAACCAAAATTATCCCTTGAGGTTACTGCTTAAAGAACAGTTTAGCTCCTACTATAAAGAGTATTATCTCTCAACAATTAATCTAAAGAAAAGATGGAAAGGAGGCAAAGAAACCAGAGCTCTAGAAATGGCACAACCAGAACAGAATGAGAATAATGATACTCTGTGGAAAATGTAAGCAATTATCTCTGAATTGAAATTATTAAATAGGTATGTAATTTACTCTGTAAACTTTTCCCTAATCACAAAAAAATATTACAAACCAAAACAGTAAGTCTGCAATATTCATTATGTGTGACACCTATTAGTTTGGTTTTCTGGCATAGACTTAAAGGTACTTCAAAATATGGACTATGTTTCATGCATTATCTAGACGGTCCTTTAATAGTTATTTGTGATAATGTATTTTAATCTTTTCCTCTTGTCTGAGCATTCAATGAGATTAGGGGCTCTCTGCAGTCTCTGGCACCCAATATATAGTGAGTGCTCAGTCAACATGTGTTAATGCTTACTCCTCACTTATCAACTATCTCATTATCCAACACAGAGGATTTATCAAAGTATTTTAAAAATACAGTTGACTATTTTGCACATTAACAACATGCATCTGGTAACAATATAGAATAAAACTGGCTATAACTCATCAAGTACACATTTATTTCACAGCTACTTAGGGGTCCCCTATTGTGGATATACTTGGCCAAACAGATTTGATGTTGATCATTCTTTCATAAATCATTTATAATCAAAATGGAATTTTTATTGATGTCCCTGATCATTTTGTTTACACCTGTACTGATTTTCTTTGTTCTTGGTTTCATTTAATGATCAGTATTTATGGTGTGTTTGCTTTTTTGTTTGTTTACTTTTCATATATTTTACTGTGGTAAATATATAAAACATTTTTTTTAGTTCTATCAAAGCATGCAAAACTTATGATATTAGTTACAATGTCATATTGTTCAACCACTGCCATTCTGGGAAGTTTTAATTTAACATCGCTATCATTATCAATGCTGAAGCTTTGATAATAATTAATAATAAAAATCTTTTTGTAGTATACATGATTGTATAAATGTTACTAGGTATAAAAACCCCAGAACAAATAAAAAAAACTGGCTATAAGGTTGCATGCCAACTTGGTCGGTCAATAATTCTTAGTGGTGTGGCAATTATGTAGTTCTGCAGGTATATAACAATGTGATCAATATCTGCTTTGTGATCTGCTGTTGCTTATCTTCCATTTTCTCATAATACCCATTCACATAATGACTTGGAAACTAATCATGCTAGTAAGTGAGAAGGAAATGTGCATAGAATAATACTATAAAACAATCCATCAGTGCATGGTAAATGTCTATTTCTTAGATCTTCTGAAGCTTCATCTGACATACTTTGGACATGTTGCAAGCAACGACCAGTCCTTGGAGAGAGATGTCATGCTTGGGAGGGTGGAGGGACAGAGCACAAGAGGGGAAGAGTTTCTGTGAGGTGGATTGATTTAGTGACTGGGGTAATTGGGGTAGGTGTGTCAGAGACAATAAGATTGGCACAGGATAGGGCAGGGTTTAAGGCTGTTGTACATAGGGTCGCTATGAGCGCAAGCGACTCGACACTTAACAATAACAACAACATGATTTTTATATATGGACAAATGTATGTTAAAAGCATACAATGGACTAAGATTTTGTTTAACTATATTTTTATATAGAAAAATTACTTTCAGGAAATTACTCATTTGTGTTTTATTATGTTATTAATTACATACAACAACAAAATTCTAAGAGAATTTAAGTGACTGTATGTAATTATACCATTACCCTTACTGTTTCCTCTTGTCCTGTACAAGTCACTAACCTGACAGTATAGTTTTTTATTTTTCTACAATTGGAAATAGAATCATATATTCTTCTGTGTAGCTTCTTTCAGTTAGTCTAATTTTTTTCATATGTATCTATACCACCTCATGAATGTTAACATCAAGCACCTTTTTATTACTGAATACATTTTCAGAGAATGGATGGAGTAAGCTCTTTTTATCAGGTAAAAAACAAACAATTTAAAACTAACTATGCATTAACAGAAAATAGTTACTCTATGCACATTCAACAAGAACAATCTTAAGTGGGTACTAAATGGCTTAGTATTATCAGAGTCATGTTAAAAATATTTTAGAAGAAAAATTCCCCAGACCTGGAAAATACTGAGAGTAAAAGTGAAAAACTATGAAGTGATATTGGAAAAGATCCATACTGCAATATAATTCCTTTAGAAAGCTTAAAAAGACAACTTCACAAGTATTTTAAGTGTCTCTAAAGAAAAAGTGTGTTTCTTTTTAGAGATATTCACTTCACCCAGAGCTCTGGGGGCATAGTACGTTGCAAGGAGCACTGCTAACCCAAAAGCCATGCATCTCCAGTGGTTCATATCCATCAAGCTCCTCAAAATAAAGATAAGCAGTCTTCCCACTGGATTAAGAGACTTGGAAAGCCAAGAGAAGATCATTACAAATCAAATATTCAAGGTCCAGTTAGCAGTTATCTACTCTCTAAATACACACTAGTACTGAGTTTGCTATCTTTTCCCACAGTCATTTATTCAATAAAATAGAAATAAACTCTCAATAACTCCCACACATTTGAAAAGAGAACCAAAATAACAGAATATCTAATTGGTTAGAATATGTGTTCTAAGCGTAATTCTTTTTAAGTACATAATGTGATTCTCACCACTGGACCAATAGGCAGCATCAGGATAGATGGTGAAGAGATTGAGATTGTTCACAGCTTAAGTTTGCTTGGCTCCACAGTCAACACTCTTAGCACCACTAGCCAGGAAATTAAAAGGCGCATTGCCATGGGAAAGTCTGCTGTTAGGGACCTCTCCAAAGTACTGAAGATGGTACAATGGTGTTTCTCTGGAGACTAAGGTGCGTCTGATACAGGCCATGGTCTTTGCAATCACTTGTTATGCATCAGAGAGTTGGACAATAACCAAGGAGGACAGAAGGAGAATTGATGCCTTTGAGCTGTGGTGCTGGAAAAGAGTATTGAGAGTACCATGGACTGCTAGGAAAACAAACTGATTCATCCTGGAGAGGGTTAAGCCAGGTAGCTCCTTGGAGGCAAGGATTCTGAGGTTCCCTCTAACATACTTTGGACATGTTGTAAAGAGAAACAGGTCCTTGGAGAAGGACATCATGCTTGGGAGGGTGGAAGGACAGCGCAGGCTTGGGAGGGTGGAAGGACAGCGCAGGAGGGGAAGGCCCTCTATGAGGTGGATTGATTCAGTGACTGGGATAATCGGGATGGGAGTGTCAGAGACAGTGCGATTGGCACAGGACAGAGCAGAGTTTAGGGATGTTGTACATAGGGTCGCTATGAGTCGCAAGCGACTCGACGGCACATAACAACAACAACAATGTGATTCAAAGCCAATTAAGTCCCTTAAGCAGCTTGCTTTAATGAATAGAAAAGGATAGTATGAATCATTTATGTGTAAACAGAAGTTCCTTAAATTTCTGAACAATCAATCTGCTTCACAAGTACTATATTCTATCTTATTCAGACTATTAATCTGAATTCAGGCTGGAAGAAAAAGGTTTTTAAGAAATGTTGTTGTCATGTGCTGTCTAGTGAGAACCAACTCCAAGCTGAGACTGCCCATCTTTCAACCCACAGAAGAGCTGATGGATTAAAATCATTTGCCGCCCTTAGAACGGCAGCACAATTCCTTATCACTAGGCCATGAGAGGTCCCTTTAAATTTCTAAGAAATAATAAATCTCAAACACTATCTCTTTAAACATTATGAAACTTAAGAGCTTGAATAAATTACCTCTTAATATTCATTGGAAACAGGAGTGGCATCCACTTCCTAAACAACATGCCTCTGGAAACTTTATGAACTTTGATAAATGTTGATAGTTACAGAAAGGCTTCAGGCCTTTTGTTCATATGGTCGCTATGAATCGTGCTCGACTTGATGGCAAGCAACAACAATATTCATTGAATTCTTAGCAGTTGATGATTTAACATTTTGAACTATTTTCAAACAACTCAAAAGATGATACATGTACGAAACCCTAAGTCTCTGTAAACTTTTATTAAAAGTAATTAAAAAAACAAAACAAAACAAAAAGCAAATGCAAAAAAAGACTACACATGTGGTAAATTATAATTTTTATAAGAATAAGTCAATCTGTGAGTAAACCCAATGTTTTCGAATCCCTGAACAAAGAAGCCCTGATAGTATGCTGCATATCCTGTTGAGCTGCTCATCAAAAGGCAATTTAAATCACCCAGCCACTCTTCAGACAGCCTCCTCCCCATTGAGGAAACCTGATAGAGAGTTGCTATTTGTCAGACTTAATGTTGATAAAGATTTACAGGGTGAGATAACTATTGGTAGTGGTAGATATAAAAACCGAAAAGTAGAGTTCTATCAGACAGATACAGTGTTTACCCAGAATACATTTGAGAAATGAATGTCCTTTTTAGTTTTTTCCAAAAGCATTTACTTTTATAATAAGAGAATCTAAAGCAATTGTAGAATGGAAAGCAGGACATTCAATTCAAAGAGATTGTAAAATAGAGCACTGATACTTAATAATTACTATATATAAAATGTAAAAGGAGAATCCTTAGTGGAATTACCACAAAGAATGCTTTTGCCAATTCAGAAATTACTTTCTGAGGTGTAAATAAAACTAATTAAAGGTGAAGAGTGATTAACTTAGGGGCAAAATATTTTCAACTCGAAAAATATCAACTAAAGAATTAGTAAGCAACCAGCAAAGAAGAAAATCTGCATTTCCAGATTTTGGGTCAATGTTCATAGAAACATTATTCATAATACTAAAAAAATAGAAATAGCCCAAATTTATCAACAACTGGTAAGTAGGTAACAAAGTGTAGTATATAAACAGAATGGTGTATTATCTGGCAACAAAAAGAAAATAGTATTGATATATGCAGGCAACAAGATAGATGAACCTTAAAAACATTATTTAGATGCCAGACCACATATCATAGAATAATTCCAATTGAAAAGATTAGGGGTTGACTGTGTGGGACAGGCACAAGGTTTCTTTCTGGAGGACAGATATGCTCTAAAATTAATTGTGGTGATAACTTTAAAACTGTCTAAGTTTATAAAAATTCACTGAATTGCTCAATTCAAACAAATTAATTATATGGTGTGGTATATAAATATACTTCAACAAAGTTATAAAAATACACACACCAGGGGAAAGTTGAAAATCTGTGAAAAAAAAAATTTCTTTGAGAATATAGGGATCTAAGTAGTACTCATGAATAACACTGATATTTTTATGTAAGCCCTAAACGCACTATATAAAACTAATCAACAAAATGCTCTTTTAAGCCATTCACAGAAATATTAGTACAGATAAAGCAAAAAAGATCTCTGATTCAGGATTAAGCAAAAGTTCCTACCTTGTCACTTAGAGGTGGGCGATTCATAGGACTAATTCCTTTCCGAATCCCAGTTGCTTTTCTAGCTGCAAGACCAGTGATAACTCCATAAGGACGTCTCTTTCCAGGCATTAGTCTTCCTCTACGGTTTATACTATTCTTACCAAAAGCTGTAGGGGGAAAAAAATATATATATAAACCTAGGAACACAAATGAGGAGGGTATATAGCATACAGAATGTATTAATTGCTTTTTTTAAGCAGAGTGGAAAGTACAAGAGTTTATTTTTTTATATATTTGTGTATTTTTCAAATGGCAGTTAAGTTCATTGGAAAAGGTCCTATGGCTGTTTTAGATGGCAAAGGATTACAGGATGGTCACTAGTCCCTTCTAGTTCCCTTTCCCTTATTACTTTATCAACAGATAGTCTAGACTTTTCTTTTGTTATATTACAGCCATTAACCACATGTGTACTTGAAACATCACTCATTCACTCACTATGTGCTACTGAATACGAATGGACTCTGTTGGGTTTCTGAGATTGTAAATCACCCTGGATTAGAACCACCAGAGAAGTGAGGTTATTGGTTTGGTAGTGCTACTCTCTATGGAATATGCCACCAGACCACCCTTAAACATCATGGAACAGAAAAGGCTTTAACTAAAATGTAAAATAATTTTCACATAGATTTCATGATGTAAAATTTTGTTAATACCAAATTAAAGAAAAGATATTAAAATTGCACCTTCACCCTGAATAAGCAAAGCACTCCTTAAAAACAGAAAAAAAGGTAGGAGGCATCTCACTCCCTGATTTCAAATCCTACTACACTGCCATGGTGCTTAAGACAGCATGGTACTGGTACAATGACAGACACCTAGATCAGTGGAATAAACTTGAGAACCCAGAAATCAGCCCATCTATCTATTGTCAACTGAATTTTGACAAGGAGGTAAAGTCAGTTAAGTGGGGAAACGACAGCCTCTTTAACAGATGGTGTTGGCAAAACTGGAAAACTATCTGCAGAAGACTCAAGCAAGATCCACACCTCACTCCATATACAAAAACCTTTCTAGGTGGGTCATGGACCTAGGACTAAAACCAAGGACTATGAACTTCATTCAAGAAAAGCTTGGAAGAATTCTAGAAGTTCTAGTCCACAACATAAACAGTCTTCCAAGTATCCTGAAAAATCTACAACCAGAAGAAGATAAAATAGATGAATGGGACCTTCTAAGAATTAAATACCTATGCACATCCAAAAACAACTCCAACAGGGTAAAAAGGGAAGCCATGGACTGGAAAAAAGTATTTCGTAATGACATGTCAGGTAAGGGACTTATATCTAGAATTTATAAAATACTTGAGCACCACAAGATAAAGGTAAACAATCCAACTGAAAAATGGACACAGATATGAACAGACACTTCACCACAGAAGACATTCAGGTGGCCAACAAGCACATGAAGAAATGTTCAAAATCCCTAAGAGATATGCAAATCAAAACAACTATATCGTCTCACCCCAGTAAGAATAGCAAATTTAACAGTACAGCAAACAAATGCTGGAGAGGCTGTGGAAAACCTGGAACCCTTACTCACTGTTGGTGGGAGTGTAAAATGGTGCAACCACTGTGGAAGGCAGTGTGGTGCTTTCTCAAAAAGTTGTAAATAGAAATATCATCTAACCCGGCAATTCCACTACTGGGAATATACCCCCAAGAGACCGTAACTGCCACCCAAGCAGATATATGCACACTCATGCTTAAAGATCATGGCTTTGTTCACAATACAAGGAGTTGGAAACAACCAAAGTGCCCATCAACAAAAGAATGGATAGAGAAGCTGTGGTATATTCACACAATGGAATACTACACTGCAATAAAAAACAGGGAACTCATGCAATATTATTCAAAACGGGTGACCCTGGAGGACATTGTACTGAATGAAGTATCTCAGTCACAAAAGGACTGCATGGTGTCACTGTTGTAAAACAGGACTGACATAGGGGATGAATGATGTATACTGCATTCAAGCAGATGAGAGAGAGAACTGTTTGAGGGGGATATGTGATTGGGTATTGTTGTCATGACAGGAGTCCAGAGCAAAGGCTGCATAGTGGAGTGGACCTGGGAGAAGGGATTGTAAAACAATTAAAGATTTTTTCTTTTGCTTTTCAAAGAGAAGAGTGTACTGGGGAGAGAGAAAGTGGGGGTGGAGTGGGGGGAGAAGGGTGCAACAATGAATTAATGGAAATCCAAAGTCTCTGTAAATTTTCATTAAAATAACAATAAAAAAATTTAAAAAACCACAAACGTCACAAACACATGCGCACACACACAAAAATTGCACTCTCAAAGTGTTACGGCTTTTATTTAACTTCCATTAGATAGCACTGATTTAGAGCAGAATCACTCCCTTATTTTTCACTTACTTATTACACTGCATTGAAATTCTGGCTTTACTTTCAACTCTACTCTTTTCAAACTGTCTATCTAAAGCCTTCAATGAGGTTCAATGAGCACAGTTTTGATTCCTATGGCCTGCGACAGTATAACTGACTTTGCTTCTCCACTCTGCCTCCTATTTAAATAATTACTAGTAAACCTGCTCACAATAACATATAAAGTACAATGCATAGTAAAAACAAGAAAATAAAAATTACTTATCATTCTATTACTTAGGAATAAACATTAATATCATAGTTATTTCAATTTTTTAAAAATGTATAACATATATGCATCAGAGAGCTAGACAATGACTAAGGATGATAGAGGAATCAATTCCTTTGAGTTGTGGTGCTGGAGAAGAGTATTGAGCATACCATGGACTACTAAGAGAACAAATGGTCTATCCTAGGGAGGGTAAAACCTGGCTGCTCCTTAAAGGCAAGGATTCCTGAGGTCTTTTTTTCTTTTTTTTGCCAATGCCTTCAGTGCAGCTTGAATGTCATTACCATTGGTTTTCAATCATATGCTATTTCCTACAACTCAAGGCCTAAATTTGTTCTTCAGTTCTATCAGTTTGAGAAATGCCAAGTATGTTCTTCACTTCTGGTTTTCTAACTCCAGCTCTTTGCTTGTTCATTATACTTTACTTCCTCATCTCAAGTAGCCCTTTGAAATCTTCTAGTCATCTCTCTTGTTTTTCTTTCCTTTGTTTTAGCTTATGTTCAAGTACAAGTTTCAGAATCTCTTCTGATGTTCACTTTGGTCTTCCCCATCCCTGTAATGCCCCCTACTTTTTTTGTCAGTGATGTCCCTGATGTCATTCCATTAACTCATCTGGTCTTTGGCCATTAGTGTTCAACGCATCAAATCTCTTTGTGAGATGGTTTTAAATTCAGTTGGGATAGTTTCAAATATGTATTGTGGTTCTTGTTTTTTCTTTTGCTTCTATCTGAATTTGCATGTGAGTAGCTGATGTATTTACATTCAGCCACTGGCCTTATTTTGACTGCTGTTCAGTTTCTCCATCAACTTTTTCCACAAATGTAGTCAATGTGATTCCTATATAGTCTAACAGGTATATCTGTATAGCTGCCATTAGTTTTATTAAAAAATGTATTTCAATGAAAAAGTTATTCACTGTATCAAATTCTAACATTTGATCTTTAGCCTCATTTTTGCCACCTTTGGTATATTTTCCAACTACTAATCTTAGGGAGCTCTTGCAGCTTAGTGCTTGCACTGCCAACCCAAAGGCATTTGGTTTGAATCCATTAGCTGCTCTGAAAGAAAAAGATGGGCTATTCCCGTGCAATTTACTGCTTGTGAAAACCCACTGGAGGGTCAGATATGGGTCGGTTCCAACTTGATGCTACCTAACAAGAACAGTCCTTCTGTGTTGCCAACATTTGCATTTCATTCACCAATTATCATTAATGAATCCTGATTGTCTGTTCCAGACTGTCAGTTAGTTTCTTCATCTCTGGCTATAGTAGTTGGTATGTATATTTGAATGATAATATTATTAACAGGTCTTCTTTTTATACATAAATATTACTATATTACAGAATCATACTTCAGGATCAATTTTATTTTTTTATAGAAACATATTGCTTATTTTTAGTCAACCCCATTTCCACTTTTTAAAAGACTGAAGACAGTTTAAGACCATTTGATGCTTGTTCCAACTCACGGACTTGCACAGTGGATGCTGCAGACCAGTCTTCGTTGCAGGTTGAGCACTCTAGTCTTCAAAAGGGAACTACTGAATAAGCACAGAAAGCACCTGCATACGTTCAGACAAGTCTGTAACCTCAGGCCGAGCACCAGTAAATTCAGGAGCAGAAACTGCCTATTCTCCCTGAAACTTCAGCAGCAGCTTGCTCTTCTTTCCAATCTCTTGTATCAGACATGACTTCCCACTGGTGCCCCTGGGAGACTGTGCCACGCATGTGCAGGACTTCCTTGGCTAGCATCCAACACATCAGACCCATGGAGTGAACATTCTTGTTGTTGTATGGGATAGTAATGTCTATGTAGTGTAAAGGGGAATCTGTTACACAGAGCTACAGTGGGCAAGTTAAGGCTGGTGGTTGGTCCTAGAATCAGTAACCACAAGATGAGGTTCTCCAAAGGCTGCCTGGATCTGGTTAGTGTAGGCTCTTAAGAGTGAAGCATGCAGCAGCAACAACAGCAGCAAACCCCAGCAGAGCTCGCTGGCTAGTATTTCTGGAGACTGTCACTGACATCGCCCGGATTTTCAATGGCAACAACGGCGCGAGCAGCTTCTCGCAGGTCCTCTTCAGGTTTGCAATGCAGATGCCATCACTTTTCCCCTTGTAGATGTACTCTTCCACTTGGAGGGCAGGGTTGTTGAGGCCCAAGTGCGTTCCTGCCACAAGATTTGAAGACATCCTCCTTCTTCATCTGCAGGACATCAAGGGCGCCGGATATTGTGGAGTTTCCCCTTTAAGGTACAAAGGGAACCAGGACAATGCTATATGGACCCTTTTGTGGTTGGTATGGACAGGAGAGACCTTGAAATGTTCCTTTTTACTATGAAAAATTCCTCTCCAAGTATTATGCTGAGTGAACTCAGTCCCACAAGGATAAATACTGTATAAAACCATTACTGTACAATGAGTATAAAGATTCAAGGAGGTGGGTGGAAGCAGAGGGATGAGGATAAGTAGGGAGGGGGTGGGGGGGGTTAACCATGGGGT